ATATTTTTCCACCAGTGCCATGTATTTGTTGTCTTTTCAAACTAGTTAACTGGACCATTATTATGAAAAGTCAGCAGAACTCTATTTTTGACCCAGTTGTCCCCATCTGTTTGATAGTGGCACTTATCCTTTCAGCAGAATAAAATGGTTTATTTCACAGCTTTAACTCTTTTCCAGCTCTGCACATCTCCTCATTTTTACTGCACTTTTAAACTAGTTGTATTGCTGCTATTAGCTAGTTGCATTGATTTTTACTATTAAATGCGCATGGTCAAAAATAAATGTACATTTTTTTATTCTGTCTAAATGTTTTTTTTTTTTTTCAAAAGTATAATATACAATAGCTGAGGCTGTAAAACTCATCTTATTAATCTGAGCATGTGGATGTTTCTGCCTCAGCTCACAGGAGTCCTGGATGACTGCTTCTGTGACGTTGAAAGCATTGACGTCTTCAACAACTTCAAGATTTACCCTCGCATGAAGAACCTGACTGAGAGGGATTACTTCAGATACTACAGAGTGAGTTCTGCTTTCAATTTCACATGACTGAAGCCCAATTCACGCTTCTCCGTCAGCTCCAATGTGGAGTCATGCACACACATTTACGGAAATGTTTTTTCTTTAGACTTCTCAGTAAGCTGGGCAGTGTTGCAAAGAAATTCCCTGCCAGGACAACAAGGATTTAGCGTTTTTTCTGGGTTATCCTGCAACCATCACAGTCATGATTATGGTCCAAGATACTGTTTTTTACATTGTTTTTATGTATTTCAGAGACTTTTTTAAATGAGACTAAGAATGCAGCTAATCAACAATCTAAAACTGTGCTTTGAACATCTAAAAAGCATAAAACGCTTTCTTTTGGCTTTCATCTGTCCCAGGAGCTCTAATACAGGCCATTCTAACCTCCCCATTTCAGCCCTGCTCTGAAAAGAGCCGTTTACCCCCATCGACATAAATATACTGGACATCTCCTTCCCATAGGCTCCAATAACACGTTTTTGAGGCCAAATGGGAGGTGGCCACCACCGCCATTTTGACCGTGTCACAGGTTCCGTCAAGCCCAGACAATTCCACAAAAGGGAAGAGAGGAGGAGCTGAGGGTGGGGCTGTAAGGCTGGGATCAACTGACGACACCCGGTCGAACTAGCTACAAGCTAACCCAAAGCTAACGCGGAGGTGAGAGCTAAGCTAACGGAGGTAGCAACCTAGCTACCAGGGAAGTTGCGCTTTCAAGTCCACTTAGTTTTATTATCGTGAAACCCATTCCACTGCTGGAGAAGTCTCTGTCCTTTAGTCACCAACGACATTTGCGGTAGAGACAAAATGGCCAAAGCCATTAATATCTGCTCATGTAGAAACGATTGGGCTCAGCTCCGTACTGATAGCCCCCAATTGCTCAATGTGGCCGCTGTAACGGAGAAAAAAATTGTCACAACAGATCCTGAATCAGTCAGGAGTTCTACAAAGAAAACACAGCTTTGACGATCACGTGACTGCATTGTTTGATATCGCAATTTTGGTCCAAAAATGGTAGATAGTTCAACCCCACTATGCTAGCGATCATTTGAGTGTTAGGACTGCTCTCTATTTAGATCCAACCATCATAATCTGAAGAGCTGCTGGAGACCAGGGTGGATGTTCTTCTCCAGACTGTGATAAGATACTTTGATTAAGTTCCCTCTTTAATGTTTTGATCAACGACTCAAACTCCTGTCATGCTTCTGAGATGTTCAGTTAGGCAATGCAGCCAAAGGTTTGGTCGTAGTGACTTTTAAAATTCCTTATGGACACGTCTCTTCCAGGTGAACCTCAAGCGACCGTGTCCATTCTGGCCTGATGATGGACACTGCTCCATTAAGGACTGTCATGTGGAGCCCTGCCCTGAGGTCAGAGGCCAACCTCTCTCTTTATATACCTTTTCATGGATCAAATGCCAGATTTTATGACTGTTATGAAGTTTGTCCTCTTTATATTGTCCAACATGATAAATTACTGATTGCTGCTGAGTTTTAAAAGACATACTAATCTTTGTGTCTTGCAGAGTAAAGTCCCTGTTGGGATCAAGTCTGGAAATTATAATAAGGTGAGATCCATTATGTTCTCCAAACCCATCACAGCTTTGTATGGAGACGCATGGGCATACAGCATCACTTTTTATATAAAATGATTTTGTCTGTTCCAGCCATCACGTTTGTTGTGACTGTGTTTTAACCCTCTGAGTTTATCAGTGAGTACGTTTACATGCAGCCTTATCCGGGTTATGATCGGGTTAAGGTCGGGATTCGGGTTTCTGAGTTGATCAGAATAACCCGTTTACAAGCATAAATAAAAAGAGTTACCTCTAACTTGCATAACCCGATTTAACTGCGGACGTTGGGGTAGCGTCAGGACGTGTGGACTACGTCCAGACGCAATATGCCTCATTTCCAGTTCTTCTTGTTCCGGTATCCGTGAAAACAACAACATGTTTCCCAGTTCGGAAGAGATGGCGACCGCGTTTGTTTGTGCTTTAGTTTCCTCGTCACTCAAAGTGTGGTGCTGTGCCGCGACTCGCCATGTTGCTCCTAACTTGTTGTTTACTTCCGGTGTTCTGGCGCATACAAGACGTCTCGCTACTCAAAAGACCAAGATTCCTTGCGAACAGAGCATGCGCAGAACACACGCTTTGATGGGGATATCCCGGTATGCGTTTACACGACCAAACATTCGGGTTAGAAAAGGCTTACCCCAGGTGTAGTAACCGGGTTTTTAAAAACCCGGTTATGAGCATATCCGGGTTTTTGGCGGTGTTTACATGGACCTGCGGAACCGGGTTATTGTGAATATTCGGGTTTTAAAAGGGTTACTGGCTGCATGTAAACGCACTGAGTGACTTTCACTTCAGTCTGATGGAGCCCAGCAGGGGCCCAAATTCATTTGAACTTCCCACAATTTAGTTAAGTGCTCACACAGATTTGACTTTTGGGGCGCAGGTGTGATCATGTTGGACAGATTTCCATAGATTCACACTTCTAGTGTTTATTTGTCGAGAATAGGAGTGAGCTCCACCTCACCCGTATACAGGTCCTTCTCAAAAAATGTGCAAATTGTGATAAAATTCATTATTTTCTGTAATGTGCTGATAAACATTAGACTTACATATATATTAGATTCATTACACACAACTGAAGAAGTTCAAGCCTTTTATTGTTTCTAATATTGATGATTTTGGCATACAGCTCCACTTAGCCTGCCGGTACCCATGAGCTGGTTCTGAGGTCTCCCCAGAGATTGCTCAATTGGGTTTAAGTAAGGGCTCTGGCTGGGTCACTCAAGAATTGTCACAGAGTTGCAGTGAAGCTACTCCTTCATTATTTTAACTGTGTGCTTAGAGCCATTGTAATGCTGGAAGGTAAACCTGTATAGAACAAGTGATGAGCAGTGCCTGGTTTTTTGCACACATACCGCTTAGAATTAAGCCCAAAAAGTTCTATCTTGGTCTCATCAGATGGGTCTGTCGGACCAGTCTGAGGTTCTAAGCACTCTGGAGAAGGTTCTTGTCCAGGATATCTCTGTTCTTCTTCACCTCTCTCACCAAGGCTCTTCTCCCCAGAGAAAGCACACGAGTTAAATACAGTGGGTACAGAAAGTAAATGGCAGGGCATTGGTTTATAATACACTTTAGTCATTTATGTTTTGAAGATTTTGTGGCTCCTTGATTCACAATGCAATAATGAACACATTTGCTTTGAGTGCTTTTTAGAGATGTCATAGACTAGTGTGCATTTGTGTTTTCATAATTTTGGTTACTGTTTTTTTTTCTACGGTTTTCATTAGAAAAATCAGTTCTCGCTAAACTATTTAGATTTTTTTGTGTTTTCATCATATTTAGCCTGTATTTTATATCAGAAGCTTTATTCATTTTATGAGAATTGCTGAGTTGCATGTTTGGAAAAATAATCATAACATTTTTGTTTTAAATGCCTTAAAATGTTCTTTAAAAGGCATTGTATAATTTTGGGAAGTTTTCATTCATTTATGACAAAATTGCTGAACACTATGAAAAACTGACATTGCTGCTGGAACAAGGTCAGGAACTGAACAGGAACAGGTTATCTGCTCCTGTAAGTCCAAAATTTTATGTTACTGATCTATTCTAAATAATATATCATATCATTAACACCATATATTATTCAATATGTGAAAGTATCTGATTAGTTAATAAACCAAATGTTTTGTTTAGTTTGATTTTCAAATACAGTGCATGCTAATGTTGTAAGTATATCTTTTAACATATTAAGCATATTCACACCTGGAAACTATAAATGTGAATAAATCAAATGGCAGTAGCTTTTCTGTACTTTTATTGTGTAAAAGTAGTGCATGGGCCTAAAAAGGTTGGAGAACCCTGCTCTAAATACTTAAAGCGACACTGGAACTGTTTATAAAAGTGATCTGAGTACCATAGATGTCCACTAAAGGTGCTCACATGTAGAGTTGACAGCTGTGAAGCATTTACTCATAACATTTCCTTTTGTAGTATTCCCAGGCAGCCAATACGATGTTGAAAGTGGCCGAATGTGAGCAGGCCAAAGAGCTGGGCGCCATCAACAGCGCCCTGAGGTGAGACGATGACCTCCTCCTGACTAATAACTTCCAAAGAGGACAGTGATATCTCGGTGTCCCAAAGGCAACTTCATAGAAGACGAGACTGAAAGCTGCACACCGACCTTAGAAAACAAACCTAATCTAAAACTTGGTTCAGAAATTCCACATAAATTAGTGTGGAAACTGCTGTTCTTTTTCTGTAGAATTCTCAAAACTTTTGCTATTGGAGAAATTCCATGAGAATTTAGTGATAATTTTCCACATGTTAAAATATGCAGCTTTATTGTTGGTATTTACAGCTACGCTGTTGGATTATTTGGTGCCAGCTTCAGCTGTTTTGGTCTTTGAGTTGATGACATTTTTTTTATCAAAAGTTGATAAGTTCTTGATAAACAATGCATTTTTTTTAATTGACCAACTCCTTCAGCTTCTTCCATGTGACATTATAAGTTTACGCATTTATTTTGTGTTCCAGTAACTACAGTAAAGAGGCATTTGCTGACTGGGCGAGACATGACGATGCTCAGGATCACTTCTGTGAGCTGGATGGTGAGGATCATTTTCTCTTACTACACCAGGGGTCTCAAGGTCACTGTCACTAAGTCCATCTTTGACAGAATCCAATATATTTAATATAAAAAATATTTTAAATGAAGGGAAACTTACATTTCTCATGTATTTGGTATTGGTGTCTAGCCTAGACTAGCCCAGGTTTAGTTCAGGTCATGCCTGGAACAGAAATGTTTATTCAGCTTAAACCATTTTAATTGTTCTTCTGCTCCCTCATCTTGTGGGGGTCCACAGGGCTTGCTACTCGGCCCTCTGCTTTGTTCTGTCTGCTGTGTTCAGCATCCAATTTAGGAAAGCAAAAGACTGCTGTCCATTGCTGTGCAGATGATACTCAGGTGTACACCCCTGAAATGGAGGGGTGATTTAATGAGTAAGGATGAGTAAGTAAGGGTGGAACAAAATATCTCTATTCTATCTCATGAACGAGTCCCAGTACCAGTACTCTCTTTCACTACATCGGTTGTATAACCAATAACACAGAAGTTCATTAGGTGCACTTCTCTTGACAATGAGCTAAAAACACCCTGAAGAACACTACGGACTCTTATGCGGAGTCGTGCAGCAGGAAAAGAAAAATAATCAAAGATGCACTAGCAAGTTTTCAGTCTAAAGGGTTCACTTTAGATTAGAAGTGTGGATGGAACAAAGATGAATGAAGACAATGCAGCATGCACAGCCGGAACATGTATTAAAAAAAACGTGCCTGTTAGTTCACCTGCATATCCCGCCGTTACTTTTTGAGGCAAAGCTTCCTTTAATTCTAATTAAGCTATGTTGATAGTACATGCATACTCCGTGTACATCTCTATGGCTCTTTGCCTATACAGCCCTGTTGTGAACAAGGGATATTGCTTTATGATAAGCATTCTTGTACCCAGATATATCATACCAAGCTACAGACATTTCACTGACAAAACGACTCCTGCCATGTACTGAGACTAAGGAGAGAACTCATTGCTGTCTGCAGTAAGAAATATTTGTTTTTGTTTTTAAAAATTTATATCTGCGTCCTCATCTTGTGGGGGCCCACAGGGTTTGCTACTCGGTGCTTTCTCTTTGTGCATGGGCTTTAGGAGAAGCTTCCTTTGTGGAGGATACCCATGCATGCCATTCCTCTGAAGTGTGTAGAGGGGGAAAAAAATTGTGATTTCTTAGTAAATATTCTATTTGGTGAGAGATAAACTTTATTGTATTTATCCTAGTGAATCTATACTTTAACGGGTAATCTAGTAGTAGCACATTCAATCTCAAAGAAAGTAAAATGTTATTATCAGGAGAGGGAGAATGTTTAAGTGGTTAGAAGCAGTGTTCAAGCCGATGGCCCCCTCTATGAGGCTACCACAGCTCAGCGGACACCATTGTAGCTTCTTCTGGGGAGAAAAACACTTAAAGAAAAAATAAAGTTAACAGCTGAAATAGCAGGAAATAATACAGTTAGATAGCAAATTGTATAAGAAAGTAGTAGAGTGTGGAAAGTGGTCAGTATGTCCTCCAGCAGTCAGCAGCATAACTACAGAGATAACTCTGGATAACCTAGCCTTTTAGATGGAGGCATGTTGGAGGCAGGGCAAGGGAGAGCCGTCTTTACCGACTGTACACTCCACCTCCCTCTTCTCCCCCACTTGTCCAGATCTGGGCTAACATCAGATTTTAACCACAGGCCCTATCAAATAAAAAATGTTTTAAGCCTAGTCTTGAAAGTAGACAAGGTGTCTGCCTCACGGACTAAAACTATTTGGTGGGAGATAAACTTTATTGCATTCATCCTAGTGAGTCTATAACTAAAGGGCTAAACTAGTAGTGGCACATTCATGGACTAAAGCTGGGAGCTGGTTCCACAAGAGAGGAGCCTGATAGCTAAAAGATCTGCCTCCCATCCTATTTTAAATATTCTGGGAACCACCAGTAAACCTGCAGTCTGAGAGCTAAGTGCTCTGTTAGGAACATATGGAACATTCAGGTCACTGATGAATGATGGAGCTTGATTATTAAGAGCTTTATATGTGAGAAGAAGGATCTTAAAATCTATTCTGAATTTAACAGGTAGCCAATGTAGGTAAGCTAAGACAGGAGAGATATGATCTCTCTTTAATTCTCATCAGAACTCTAGCTGCAGCATTTTGGACAAGCTGAAGACTTTTAACTACATTCTGTGGACTTCCTGAGAGTAATGAATTACAGTAATCCAGTCTTGATGTAATAAATGCATGAACTAGTTTTTCAGCATCACTCCTGAAAAGGATGCATCTAATCTTATCAACATTCCGAAGGTAGATAAAGGAAATCCTAGAAACATGTTTAACGTGGGATTTGAATGACATGTCCTGGTCAAAGATAACACCAAGGTTCCTTACTTTGTTCTCAGAGACTAATTTAATGCCATTCAGGTCAGGTGATTGACTAAGCAATTTCCTTTTCTGAATTTCGGGTCCGAAGATGAGAACTTCAGTCTTGTCTTGATTTAAAAGCAGAAAGTTTTGTATCATCCAATTTTTTATGTCTTCAAGACAAGCCTGTAATCTAACTAACCAATTAGGTTCATCAGGGTTAATGGATAAATATAACTGAGTATCGTCAGCATAACAGTGGAAGTTTATCCCATGCTGTCTAATCATTTTACCAACTGGAACCATATATATATAGTAAACAGAATTGGTCCAAGCACTGAACCCTGTGGTACTCCACAAGTAACCCTGGAGTATGAAGACGATTTGTCATGTACATTTACAAAATGAAATCTATCAGACAGGTAGGATTTAACCCAGCCTAGCGCTGTTCCTTTGACCCCTACAACATGTTCAAGCCTTTCTAAAAGAACATTGTGATCAACTGTGTCAAATGCAGCACTGAGATCTAACAAGACTAGAACAGATTCTTATCTGAGGCCATGAGAATATCATTTGTAACTCTCACTAATGCAGGTTCAGTGCTGTGATACTCTCTAAAACCAGACTGAAATTCTTCAAACAGATCACTAGTGTTTAGATGCTCACATACTTGATTGGCCACTATTTTCTCCAGGACTTTGGATAAAAATGGAAGGTTAGATATTGGTCTATAATTCATTGGGTCATCTGAATTCAGAGGTTTCTTAAGTAAAGGTTTGATTGCAGTAACCTTAAAATCCTGTGGTATAGGAGGATTACCACCACTGTTTCAGAGAGGCCAGGCTGGCAATGGGAGATCGACCATTCGCCTTTGCGCAGCAGCTCCGGTATGCAGCATGTCGATGAGTCCGCTTCGGGCAGTCGGACGGGGAGCAGGACCTACTAGACACACTGATTCTGGAGCAGTTTGTAGAGGCGATGCCAAGCGGGACCAGGGAGTGGATCCAGTGTCACCGACTAATGGATCTGCAGGCCGCTGTGACCCTGGCTGAGGACCACATGGTGGCCCAAGGATGGGAGAAAAAGCCAGAATGGCCGACCACAGCACCACGCCGACTTCGACCTCCTGGTGCTAAAGAGGAGCCTGGACGGATGATGGCGTGAGAGGACAACAGCCAATGGGTGACTGCTACTGACATGGAACCTCCATCCCCCAGATACTGGAAGTGTGGCGCGGTGGGGCATGGACGGCGAGACTGCCCTGTGATGGAAACGGACTGTGGAACCCGAGTGAGCCGACCAACCAGCTCAGGCCAGAAGGCAAGAAGCAAGGTGGAACCAAGGAGAGCAGCGATCAGGACCCGACCGGCGCTGGGGGCCCAGCTGGCCAGCAGCAAATACTTCACTGGTTCCGGGGGACTTGACCAGACCGGACATGTCCCCGGCCTGGAGCAAGCGGTGGAGAAGTGTGGCAGAGCGCCAGATGGGAGGTGCTCTTGCTGTCCCAACGAGACGCACCAGGTGCCAATTGATAATCAGCCGGAGGATGATTATAAAGGCCGGCACCGCAGAAGGAGAGAGGGAGCAGACGTGAGGAGCCGGTGTGGCTTAGAGTCTGCTGAGGAACAGGACCACGACCCGATACCCTGAACGAGTTAATAAAGCGTGTGAGCAAACAGAACGGTGTTGTGTTGTGCGTGTGTGCGTCCCGGTGTAGCTGAGACTGCTAGAAAATGATTAGTCAATAATAGCCAATTATTTGCCACTTTGGTGCATCCGAGTTGAAAATTAAACATTCTGCCTTAAACTGTCTGTGTTGCACCCTTTTCAGGTAAAGCTCCAAACTACATTTGAACTTAAATCTGCCATAGCTATTGGCTAATACGTACCCTATGGTTGATGATATTAGCTGGTACCATATGATGTCACAATGCCGCTGTGAGCTTGTGTGTGCGTGTATTTGTTAGCAGCTCTGCCCTCTCGGTCTGCCAAGCAACGGCTCCTTGTGGCACTTTTTTCAAACAGGAAATGGGAGTGGCGTTAGACTCTGGTAAGAGGTGACTTGTTCTGCAAGCTAGTTTTGAATATACACAATTAAAACAACACCGCCACCCTGAAAAGAAAAAAAAAAAAACTGCAACTACACAAGTTCCCAAGGGTTCAGCACCTCATAGATGAAATTTGGGCAATAAAGGACCTGAGTAAAGATGGACATGGAGATGAGTTTTCTGTTTCGTTTTTAATGTCTGGACCGTGTAAACATGTTACAGATGAAACCTCTCCAGATGCTGAGTATGTGGACCTGCTATTAAATCCCGAGCGATACACCGGCTACAAGGGTCCTTCTGCCTGGAGAGTGTGGAACAGCATCTATGAGGAAAACTGCTTCAAGTGAGAACACACACACACACACACACACACACACACACACACACACACACACACACACACACACACACACACACACACGCACACACACACACACGCACACACACACACACACATGCACACGCACACACACACACTCTTGCATCTTCTACTTTTGATATGAACAGTAAAAGAGCTTCAATTTAGTCTTAATAAGACATCTAACTTAAAATGTTTTAGCATCACAGCATAGAACAGTTCTTAATCTCATGGATGGATAAACACCCCACCACCAGTTTTATTATATTGCATATATGTAGCATTTATGTAGCTCAAACGCAGATTTTATCAAATAATTTATTAGCAGGGAACACGGTCATTGTGATCTGTGTTCTTGTTTTTAAAACCAGTTTTCTTGTTTTTGTCTGTAGACAAAGGACCAAATACCAGAAAACTACACAGCGTTAATGTTTAGGTGTTGTCACACACAGAGCAGGTCTCTGCTGGCTAAGAAACCCTGTTAAAATGTTAATTTTAGGTTTTTAATGTAGAAGGTTTTGTATTTAATGCTTATATGAGCCCTGCACTTAGCCATGAGAGCTGGTGGAACTCCACAAAAAAATAAATAAATAAATAAAATCCAAATTTGGAAAACGTTGCTGCTTTTTCATAGTTATGATGCAGAAATTTATGCTTAGTGTAGAAACTACACAATGCACAAATTAAGTTTCCTTCATGTTATTTAACTAAAAGAAATGCAAATCATTTTTCTTGCCTTGTTTGTGGTATTTTCAGAGCATTCATTCTATAGATGTTTTCCTGTATTTTTACCACTGACAGGCCCCGATCAGTGTACCGACCCCTGAACCCCCTGGCTCCAAGCAGAGGTGAGTCGGAGGCAGTTTTTGCTTTTATTGACGTAAAGAAGTGTTGGTCTTAACAGGACCTGAAAAAGAAAAGTTCACAGTAATATTTAATAGGCATGAGACCGAATCCATCAGTGAAAGTATAATATAAAGGCCAAAAGGTTGTGTTATTTCTTTCTTTGGATGCATGTTTTAGCTCTGATGGTCAGGGTGTTGAAATGGTTTCCTCTGGTTGTATTTATGTCGGTATGCATTCAATCTGCGTTTATTTGTCTTAAGTTTTCTTTTCATTTAACACATTTTTCTGTTTCTGTCTCTGTTGTTCAGGAGAGGATGATGGTGAGTCACACAGCTCAGTTACCAAGCTGCTGTTTTATAGTTTCAGTCAGACAAGAACTGCTCTCAGTTAACACACACACACACATGTGAGTAAAACCTTAAAAACTTTGAACCGTTGTATTTTGGGGAAACAAAAGAAAAAGATCACACCAGTTACAATTGACGGTGGTAGGGGCGGAAATCCTATTTAATTTTTTGGGGGGGACAACAAACAGTAAAATTTCAGTAAAATTTGGGGGCGGGGCCATGAAAAAATTGCTGTCTCCTGATGTTTTGCAACTTGCAGGAGAGGCCTCCATCATGAGCTATTTCACTGAGAAACCAGCCAATCAGAGGAAAGTTGTCAAAATATCGGTAAATAATACAGAGTAAGACTTCAAATCCTGCCATTTTCTGCTCCCTTCTCCTCCAACTGACCAGTTCCTGAAGAAGCACCAGACAGGGTATCCGCGGGTCCTTAAAAAGTCTTAAAAAGTCTTAAATTTGCTTTTCTAAATTTAAGGCCTTAAAAATCCTTAAAAATTACAAATAATCCTTAAATAAAGTTTCCAAAGGTCTTAAATTACCAAAGACCCAATGAACAAGAATTTCTAGTTAGTGTTCAGCATTTTTTGTGTGTGATATTGGCGTAAGCGGAACCACACACATTCAGTTGGTTGTGAAAGGGGGCTATTTTTAGATGAGCACATTGGTTAAGCTAGTGGGAGCTTGCACCATGGGGAAGTACAAGTTTGATGGTAACTAGGTGGGTAATCCCACGTTTGCGACGTGGTTAGCACCGGTTCCAGGCAATAGCTGGAAATTATAGCTTAAAATTTATTTAAAAGAATAGCTTAAATTTGGTCAAAGTGGCCTTAAAAAGGTCTTAAAAAGTCTTAAATTTGGCTCCCTTAAACCTGCAGATACCCTGACCAGAGCTCTTCCCCCAAAGCGATTGCCTCACAGTGCATTAATTTATACTACAGACCTCTGTAGATGTGTTAAAAAAAACGAATGTACTTGGTCTTTCAATAAATAATGTTCAAAAAGGCAAAGTACTAAAACATTTCTGGAACCTTAACAATAAAGAGAGAGCACCATCTAAAAATAAAATGTCTAAATAAAATAGACTAAGTCACATGATGTGGAGGCTATTATAAAATCCACATTTCCATCAAATTAACATTATTAAATGTGAAAAATAAACATAAAGCTGTTGAATTCTGTTCTGTAGTCTGTCACTCAGCGACCAGCTGCGAGCAGTATCACAACTTGGTGAAACATCAAAAACCAGGATGAATATCTGTCATGTTTACAACCTAAAAGTGATGTAGATGTTCTTTAAAAACATTCTAAGAACTTAACTTTAATCTGTAATGTTAAATAAAGTTATAGATGTCTAGAGAAAACATTCAGTCTGCCTAATAAAGCTAAAATGACCACCTGTTAGGCTTTTAACCCTCCCACTGTCTTTATGGGTGACTTCGTGAGGAAAGTTGAGCAGGATTGATGGTTTATCACTTGAGGTCCACGTGGCAGGGGTGAGGTGGTGCTCACTCCTCACAAACAATTTTACAAACAATTAAGACTTGACAAATTGGTTAAACTATTATACTGTGAGTGGATGGAACTAAAGGATGGTGTCTGGAACTTATGTGTGAATATAATGTAATGGAGTCAGAATCTCCGTTTCTCAGAGAGCTGAGTTCTGGACATGAAAGAATTTGGTTCGCATATAAGCTATAAAGTCGTTATTATCAAAACCACATACAGACTCTTATCTCGCTGTGCTCTACCTCACCCTCTTGGAGACCCCCGTTTGGATCCGAAATGTCAAGGAGCCGACGACCCCACTGCACTTGGTTCGTAGAGAAGCCTCGATGCGACCAAATCAGTCCTGAGATGTCTCCGGGTCACAACTGTAGATGAAACCAAGCGTCTTAAAAATAACTCTGAAGGAGTTTGCGTCAGCTTTGTTTAGTGTTGTTCTCAGCTTCACGGGTGCATAAAATGTTAAAGGTTTCGACAGCGTGTCAAAATCTTTGCGGGTCAAAGAAGCTTTGCTCAGATGGCCGGTCTAAAGCTTTTCTCTAGAACCCTCGAACTGTTCGATCTCTACTGAGGGAAAAACCAGAGGGACTAGTTTTTATGGATTGATGTTGTGAATTTGGCCAGACAATCGGGCTGACAGGTTTGAGAGATGTTAACAAGAATCTCAGAACACACCCTCTTCGATTTGGACACTCTGAATCTAGGCAAAAGGTTAACTGTGCGTTAGCTTAACTTTACTCTGTCTTGTATGAGTGCAAATGGTGATGACCTCATCCAGTAAACGTGCTAAGCATATATCATTAAAGATCAATGAACATTTCATTGTTTATAATTACAAAATCTTTCTTCTTTCGTCTGGGAATAAAGGAGTTCATTTAAAAGAGTTCCTCTGTGAAGGACCTTGGAGGAGAGAATGTTATTGTTTATCTTTTATTATCTCTCGGAGCTGCAGTCCAGTTGGTGTGAGGAAGGCAGGCTCTGATTAAAGGGACTACGTGCAGCCTTCCAGACTCCTGTAAGGGGAAAATATTGTCGGTTGTGTCACAGCCAGGTTAAGTTGACCTGGCTGTAGATCTTGACCTGTGGGATCTCAAAATCAGGCCATTTTGTGACGTTACAATATCAACATGCTGAAACATATACACATACTAAACCTTTCAATGTAATCATAACACAACATTCATTTCAAACTTCAATCACTCAAGCACAGAACAATGAAAACATGTCATTATATTTAATTATTATAAGTAGCAACAAACAAATGTTTATTTAATGATTATTTAACTTATAAGTTTTAAAAGTTCATATTTAATTAAAGAAATCATTCTTTGATTTAGCAACTAATCCGAGCTGCAAATGTTCCGTATTCAGAGGCATGTAGAGTCCTGTAGGACGATGAGGGAAGCTTGAACCTTGAGGAGAGGACATCATTGTTGACTATACGTTATCATGTGTTCAGAGCTGCAGAGAGGCTCTGAGCTCCAGTTGATGGGATGAAGGCAGGCCGATTTAAAGGGAACACATGCAGTCTCGTGTCTCCGTTTTGACCAGATGATGAATGGTCAAACAGTACCGAAAAACTGACCATTGCTGGACGTTACACAGTAACACATTTGTGTACCTGCAATGAAGAATGCGTAAAGTGTGAGAGTAGTTTTATGTTTGTGAGGGACAGTAAAAAGGCACAAGTTATTTTTTTCTTCCACAAGTATGCGGATGTGTTTTGCAACATTTGTTTTGGCTCAACTGGAGCAAAACTGCACCTGTATGATTTTTTTCTGTGTGTGACTCAGCAAATACAATTTGTGGACTTGAAAAAAAGATTTTGAATAGGTGAAGCTGATGTTTTGTACCTGTGAAAGATGGGATTTTTCTGAAATTTTCTCCATGACAAAACACAAATGTTATTGCACCAAATGTACCTCCATAGATAATGCCAGTACAACTTAAACGGAGGAGTTATACACTCTTACTGCAGAGGCGATGAAATATCTATGGTAGGGTTCTGTTTTACATCTGATGTCTTAGTCTGCCTCTGACTGTTCATAATCGGTGATGCCAGTACCAAGTTGCTTAGTAGCACATTACTAGTCTAAAATGACCACTTTTTCCAGTAACGACTAATCTATTGCATTACTGTTTTCATATCACTAATCAGATTAAAGTTACTTCTCCAAAAAACTATGCATTACTGGTTACTAGTTTTGTGTAACCATTTTTGTGTTTTGCAAAGATATCAAAACCAGCTACAGGAATATCTACTAACTGTACAAAATGCCTCAACATAAAAACCAGCAATCACTTTTGGGAAGAATGCTAACAGTTAGCATCCAATGTGAGCAAACACACTGACAGGCATGATTATTATTAGACACGCTGATAAAAAGTTGAGCGGCACCGAGAGCCCGTTCCATGGAAAGGAACCACTACTCGAGATGCTAAATTTTGGTGCAACATTACACAAAGATGGCAACAAAACCCCAACAAAACACACCAAAATAGAACAAACAACTGGAAACCTGGCTACCCACAATGCACCTCGCTTGCTGCTTGTTCCGACCCCGCCCACAGCGGAACTGACAACGGGCGAGGTGGGACTGTGAGACCAAGAACACAGGGCTGCCAACTTTTGAAATTTCCATGCGTGAGAGCGGAGGGGGGTGGGGTGCTTTGGTTGCGGACAGTTTGCCGTCCATCGGAGGGTGGGGGGCAGTGTTGCCAGATCCAAAATCCCACAATATCGTACAGAGAGGCTTAAATTATCGTTTTTCAGTACAAATTATCGTACATTATAAATTTGATAATAACGTTCTATAAACGACTTCTCACTCCAATATAATATAACAAAGAAGGTGTTTTATATTGCCCTGTTTAAATAAACATCTTTAAAACCAGTAATATAATGCTTATAAACGTGCAGAGTGTGTCGGCACCACTCCGACCTCCACGCATTGACACGATATGCACATTTGCGCAGTCCTATTTATGTCATTTCTACATAAGGTTAAAAGCAAGCGACAAAACATCACAGCAGTAGAAAAACTGACCCAATAAATGACAAAGCAGCCTACTCACCTAGTTGCTGATCTCGATCTCCTCATCTGATTCACTGTCTGTCGCAGCAGAATGCCTTTAATCACCTGTACTAAGTGGTCTGTGCTTCTCATTGCAATGTTGTGCTGGGCTAAAAAGCCACATAGCTTGATTTCAGCGTTTTTCACATCATTTTCAAACTTCTCTTTTTCATTAGTTTGTAGGAGGCATTTATAAACCTGTAAGCACTGAGGTCAAATCTGACTTCAGAACAGTTTAAAATTATGTAATGGACTTGGGAAAGCCACAGCAAAAGATGGTGTTACTAGATGCAATGTGAAATTATCGTACATTTGAGGATTTTTGAAACTATTGATCGTACATCGTACAGAGCCCAAAATTATGGTACAAATACGATGATGATCGTACATCTGGCAACACTGGTGGGGGGAGTTACTAGGACTCATCCTTTATAATAACACACAAAAAGACATAAGTGTTTAGAGGTATTATTTAATATTACTGCTGACAGCCTTTTATCATAGTTGGAAAGCAAAACGTTAAAATGTGCTGACGATCGGATAAGATAAAGGGGGCCACGCAGTGGGCCATCGTGGCATTTCACAACAAATGGTGAATCTGTGCATTTCTCACAATTATCACGACTTTTCCTTTGACAGTATAACTGTGTGCAGCTCTGGAACTTTTAGCTGCACACAGTTATACTGTCAAAGTGAATATTCAGTAAGTTTCTAGTTTTGATCATTCATGTTTTTTCTCTGATTATTGAGAACGTTTTACTGACTGATTAATAAGACAAAACAGCTACATAGTAAATGAGCTTGTAGTTGTGTTTAAACCTAACCAGTTGGTCTCCTGCCTCTGCAGGAGAAGGCTTCTACACCTGGCTGGAAGGTGAGCTCCACCTCACATCACTCCTGTTTGTTGACAAACATTGTTTTCATACCTGCAGTAAAATGTGTTCTTACAGAACTTTTAAAAACAAGCCGCGGTGTGTTTTCTGCGGAATTAAACCAAACTAAACGAAGTTCCGGATGCTGGATCATATTACCCCCAAATTCCACTACCTCCGCTCCGCTCCGACACGAACGCCGGAGCAAAATCGGTCCCGTTGTAGTCAATCAGAGCAATTCCACTACTGCGGCCGTGCTCCGGCAGTGCGGCGCAGTGCGCTGCCCTCTGTTCCGGCGTCCGGCAAAAATAGGATTGATTCTATTTTTGCCGGACGCCGGAAAACCTCCGCAGTAAATGGACAGAAATCACAACCGCCCAACAGGAAAGGGAGCAAGCACAACTTCCGTTTTTCACAATAAATCGATAAACAAAAGGCGTTTTTTGTTTCATATGCACAGGTTTAACAACTTTTAACAACTATCAATGGCGGCTGAAGTTTAAATGCACAAAAATAAGCCATAAATACAGTTTCTACTATCAAAGTAGTCACCCTTTGTTGATCCAAACACTGCTGATCTGTCAACACAAATGATGGGCAGATTAAACAGCTCATGCCGATGCTTCTCCCACACAACGGGTGTTTGGATCTAACTTCCGCGTTTATTGCTCGGACTGTATCGCAAGATCTCGAAAATCCCGCGCATGCTTGTTTGCCCCCCCTCAGGTCTCCGCACCGGAGCGGAGCCGTTGTAGAGCGGGTACCAAGAAAAATTGAGTTCGGAAGCGAGCGGCTGCGGAAGGCGGGGGCGGAGCGGAGGTAGAGGAATTTGAGGGTTAGATCCGCAACAGCTCTGGTTAATGAATTCTGCCAGAAGAAAGTGTTTGGATGTTGGATTAGATGGACTGAGATGTAAAGGATCTTTTTTTTTTTTACTGTGAACTCACATCTGTCCCTGTTCAGGTTTGTGTTTGGAGAAGAGAGTTTTCTACCGAGTCATCTCAGGCCTGCACAGCAGCATCAACATCCATCTGTGTGCCGAGTACCTGCTCGACGGTACGACCTTATCCCTTTTCATTCCTGCAGCAGTAAACTTATGTTTGTGATGTTGTTTGTGGTGGCAGAAGGCTGGGGTCGATCCGTGTGGGGTCCGAACATCCGTGAATTCCGGCGGCGCTTTGAAACATCTGAGCCAAAGGGCGAGGGCACCCGGCGGCTGAAGAACCTCTACTTCCTGTACCTAATAGAGCTACGGGCTTTGTTCAAGGTGGCTCCCTACTTTGAACGCGCCTTTGTGGACCTGTACACCGGAAACACTCTGGAGGATGGAGAAACCAAGGACCTGCTGCTGCAGATTTTCAATGAGATCAAGTGAGGAACTGGTGGAAAGCTTCTGAACTGAGCTTCTCGTTACGCAGCTCAAGACGAACTAGTCCCACTTTTAAAACAATGCTCATATAATAAACTTGCACTTTATAAAAGGAGAATTTTTATGTAGGTCTGTTGTTGAAATTACAATTGGAAAACATAGTGTCATAAACACCCTAGCTGCTAGCCTGCAAATCATGTCATTAGAGAGGATTCATCCGTCTAGATCGGGGTCGGCAACCCGCGGCTCTTTCATCCATCTGATGCGGCTCTCTGTGCTTGTAAAATTGTCAGTTCTAAATGTAAAGATTGTCATCTTTTAAGATCTAAACAAAAATGATAAAGACCTGAAATGACAGGTCACCTGCGTGTGCGTAATCAAATGTTGCTGTAGGCGCTTTCTGAGCCGAAGCTATGAGCTTCTGGACTTTTGCCTCAGACAGGCTCACGGATGCGTCGCCACATTGGAGGCAGGAACAAGCACCATTCAGCCAAAGTTTCACAATCCGGGAACATTTTCTAAGTGACAAGTCTCTGAGAGGCAGGGTTTGGAAAACACTCGCTTCAGTGAGAGGAATTTTCCCGCATGTGCTCTGGTTCTGCTGCGCTCCAAGCCCCTCTCCACAGCCTTAGCTCACTGTACACCTTATGTGTGCGCTGACAGCAAGCTGTGCTGAACACAGTTTCCAGTAAAATGCTCAGATGTTCTGATGGGAATCTTTCTTATTGATTTAGCTGCCTCCACGATGTGCGTCATGATTAAACTGTCAGCGCGTCTGCAGCCTTGAGGTTTCTCCGTCAAAATAAACGGTCAAATTCGGGAAATATCCGGTCAAGGCAAACCCTCATTTAACTGTTTGGCCTTCTTGTGAAGATTGTTGCGAAGAGAAACAAACTTGTTTAAGACCAGGCCCACGCGGACTGCGTCATTGTCTCCATCGCTGTAGACGAGGGAAATAAAACGATCTGATCGAAACCTTTTCTTACCTTTTACACATTGTTTAACGTAAACTTATGTTCTGTACAACGTTTAATTACAACAATCCAACAGGCAGAGCCTGGATTATTATCCACTTTAAACATGTTTTAAAGGAGACGTGTCAAACAGCATCACCTGCTCAGGCGCTTTAGGCCCCGCCCACAACGCCGCGGCTGCTGCGGCTCCCAGTGTTTTCTTTACTGTGGGAAACGGGTATTAATGGCTCTTTGATTGGAAAAGGTTGCCGACCCCTGGTCTAGATGAGTGGGGAACATTTTTTTTTCTAGCTCTCTGAACATCTTAGGTGTGTTCTTGCTGTGTCGTGGTTCTAATTCCATGCTGTCATTCTTTTTAAAACACAGAAACAGTTTTGTTTACCTGTTTTGTCGCTACGTTTCGCCGGCGGCTGCAGGCTTCTTCATGGTGGCGTGTCACTTCCTTCTCCGTTTATCCGCGGGCAGCAGAGGACGTTGTCGCCCCCTACTGCCCGCTCTCCCCTCTCCGACGATGCAGTCCCATCGGCGGTCTAACGACCAAGGATGGGACGGGACGGATTAAAGAAGCAATCAAGATAAGGAGACGTGGATGTGGGACCATGAACAGAGACGACGGAGTTTACACGTTAGACCGCACATGGGACAGCATCGTCGGAGAGGGGAGAGCGGGCAGTAGAGGGCGACAACGTCCTCTGCTGCCCGCGGATAAACAGAGAAGGAAGTGACGCGCCACCATCAGCGTCAGCCTGAAGAAGCCTGCAGCCGCCGGCGAAACGTAGCGACAACACAGGTAAACAAAACTGTTTCTGTGTTTTAAAAAGAATGACAGCATGGATTTTTTTCTAGCTGCCCTGATTATCATTTACTGAATGTGTTGCTAATGTCACGTAATAATTGTGAAAGAATGATTGGTTAGTTGACCAGTTGGTGATATCTCTGTTGTTTGCAGCCTAACAAATGACGTTTGGGGCTATTTTAAAGTGGTAAAATGCTACCACCTCTTTTAAGTCATTTAAAAATTACCAGGATAAGTAAAAATCCTTTATTTGACCCACAGTGGAGAAACGTAAAGCAAAACCAAACAGAAGTGTAGGAGAATAGGCCGTAGTACAAAATGTAATAATAAAAAAAAATACACACACACACACACACTATGGGTACAGAAAGGATTCAGATCCCCATCAATTTTTCACTTTTTGTTATATTGCAGTCAGTTGCTAAAATCTGTTTAAATCATTTTTTCTCATTAATGTACACACAGCACCCCATAATGACAGAAAAACAGCATTTTAGACATTGAATTTGTGTGGGTGTATATTTTCCAAGGTAAATGGAACGCACCATGTGGTCCATCCTCCACTGCATAGAACAGTAGATGCTACGCCCACCGCTACTGCCTTTGGCAGTCGCATACGTGGGGTCTACTTTTTATAAAGTCTGTGGTTATCCCTTTGATGCATAACGGTCACTACAGTGGACAGGTACTCACAATTGTTATTTATTTGTTTTTGCTATTAAGCACAGCTGTTGAAGACTTTATTGCATTTGAGCCCCTCCGTTTGGACTTCAGTAAGCCAAGCCAACATATTTCATGCTCAGAATGCACGCTGTCCACTGAGATGGACATGTAATAAATTATTTGTAAATTATAAAATTTTACAAAAAATATTTGTTGAAATTTGTTTCATTCACACCTAAAGACGAATGAAAAAAATTGTTAAAAAATCATGGTTGAAGATTTCATAATTCATGCATCAAAGGGCTAAATGGGATGCTTTAGCTCCATCTGGAGCTCAAACAGTGAGAGAGAATCGTTCATGAACACGTTGACGCACGCCAGAATGAGTGCGCTCACTTTAACCTTCATCAGGCAATATATGAGCAAGCTCAGTTCACGTTCACAAGCGAGTTCGTTCAGTGAATGCATTCCGGCACAACACTGATTGTAACTTAGTGTGTTGAGGGGCCCTCAATAAAATTACATTTAGCGTTCCACTTTGGCAAAGGGCGGCCTCGGTGTGTGTGTGTGTGTGTGTGTGAGACCAGATTTTGTATTGGTTTGTTTTTCCTTCAGCTGTTTTTGTCTTTCAGAGCTTTTCCGATGCACTTTGATGAGAAATCCATGTTTGCTGGACATGAGATGGAAGCCAAGACTTTAAAGGTGAGGTCTGCGGCTCTTACCCGGTGTCTGATGTTATGCAGACCTTTTACTGCTTCAGGAACACTTCTGTGAAGAGGTTTTCTCCAGGATTAGCGTGTCGGTGTGTTTATTTTTTACATTTCTGGGCTGTCTAAAGGGGAGACGTGTCCTCCGTGCTCTTTTAACCCTTTAGGCCCTAGGCCTTTTTTCTTTGGGCCCTGGCGCCTCCCAATTGGGGGCCTTTGTAGTTTCATGTCCCAAGTTTCAGTGATTGTTTGCGTTCCCCGAGCGCAGCTACAGCTACAATCAAAACAGTTTAGATTGTAAACAAAGCCATTTTTGGTTGTTGATACATTAAGATAAAATAATACCTGAACTTTATTTTAGAAGAGCAGCGCTGTGTGAAAGTGCTGACAGGATGGAGGTTGTGAGTTCAAATCCCATTTAGAATTTAGTCGATTGTTTTATTTATTCCAGGGTTCCTCAACTAAATTTGTTCACGTTTTTATTTTTCCAGCAGACACCAGAGAAGGTCAGATGCTCTTCTAAAAAAAAAAAAGTTCAAATATCTTAATTTATTACAATTCAAAATGGCCTCGTTTCCCATCTGGGCTGTTTTATTAGGGTTTTAGTTGTGTTTGGAGAACGTGGACAGTTGTAGATGTCTAGGACATGAAACTGCAGAGGCCCCCAATCGGGGGGGCTGTTATGCTTAAACAGGTTAAAGTTCCTGTAGACCTTCTGGTGTGTGAGTCTGAAACCTCTTCTCTCATTCAGGAGGATTTCCGCCTCCATTTTAAAAATATCTCCCGGATCATGGATTGTGTCGGCTGCAGTAAGTGTCGACTGTGGGGAAAACTACAGGTGAGTCATTGCTGATGTTTGATTCCTTCTATGGTTCTAGCAGGGGCGGATTTAGGACTGAAGAAGATCCGGGGCTTAACCATTTGATGCATGAATTATGAAATCTTCAACCATGATTTTTTTAACAATTTTTTTTCATTCATCTTTAGGTGTGAATGAAACAAATTTCAACAAATATTTTTTGTAAAATTTTATAATTTACAAATAATTTATTCCATGTCCATCTCAGTGGACAGCGTGCATTCTGAGCATGAAATATGTTGGCTTGGCTTACTGAAGTCCAAATGGAGGGGCTCAAATGCAATAAAGTCTTCAACAGCTGTGCTTAATAGCAAAAACAAATAAATAACAATTTTGAGTACCTGTCCACTGTAGTGACCAATTATGCATCAAAGGGTTAACACACACGCGCGTGCGCACGCACACACGCACTAGTCAACATCATTTATATTCGTCTTGTACCACATCATTTTTAATCTGAAGCTACACATTAAGCATTTTCAGGGCAGAGTATTTTTCCTGTTAGTGTTTAGTGTGAGATGATAGTAAATATTCCCTTTTTTTCTCCAACAACTACCTGATAAGCTAACTTTAGACAAACCAGCAGCACAACAAATATTT